TAATAAAATGTGCGCCATCAACTGTAGTACTACCTGCATCAAGAATTGTAGTGAGAGCTGTGTGCAGGACCTGTGCGGAGAGCTGCTGAACGAGTTCTATTTGGAACTGTAATGAGAGCTGTAGAAGGAAGAGTTGCAAGGAGACTGCACCACTGGCTATACAGGAGCTGTAGTACGGCCTATTTTAGGAGCTTTAGTGGGGGGCACAGTCGGTGGATAGACTATTCGAACCCTCGCACACTTGAGGGGGATGCTCATCACCCCCCCGCCACCGAAATAGATGTTGAGTTTAGCATGGGTGATTGTTGTGGGATTCGAATATTTCTGCCCACCCAAGCCCCCTCCATTGCCGCACCCTCAAAATTAGTTTCGAAGGTCCGGCGGGGCGGCTTGCGCCGCAAGGTTCGATCTTTTTGTACATGTACGGCCCCGCTGCAAGGGGCAAGAGATGGGAGTGCGAGTGGAAGTCGAGGTCGGGGGGGAGGAGGGGTCGAGGGCAAGTGGGAGGTGGAAGGGAGAGTCGGGGTGGACGAGTAGGTGAATGGGTAAGGGTGGAGGCCTAGGTAGAAGTGGAATGCATTAAGGGTGGAGATGAAGGAGAAAGTTGGAGGTCGAGGTGGACGTGGAGGGGGGGAAAGAATGATGAGAAATGAGGGGAGTGGGGAAGAGGCAGAGGAATGGCGAGGAGTGGGGCGGACTGTTGAGCTGAAGCTCGGAAGGAGTGGGGAGGAGCGCGGAGGAGTGTTGGAGGAGGTGGCGGGATTACGGAGGAGTTGAGTGGAGAGAATGGCGGAGCAATGGGGGAGTGCGAAGGAGAGGTGGGAACATGGTGGATTGGCCGGGGGATGAGCGTGATTGAGTCAGAGGAGTGGAGAGGAGTGCGGAGGAGAGGGGGGAGTAGGGTGGATTGGAGTGGGGATGAGCGGGGATGAGTCGGAGGAGTAAGTGGAATGAAGAGGAATGCGGAGGAATGCGAGAAGTGAAAAGGAGCGGACACACATGGGAGATAGTGGGGAAGAAATATAGGACACCTGAAAATTAAGGCATGGGGAGTTCGGGGAACGCTTCGGGAAGAGGGCGGAGGAGTCCAGAAGGAGTACAGTGCATACCTGCATCAACGCGTGTATGCATCTATACATACACACATCCATGCATCTATACTATACAGCCATACGGCCGTGCATCAACGCATGCAAACACATCTGCACCCATGCGTACATACACGCACCCGCCCATACGTCAGCACACATATGCGTCACTATATGCCTTCAAACGCAAACATATACATCCAAATCTCCATACACATCTACATCATCCATTTGGCCATGCATTAGCGCACGCATACAGCAATACATCCACAACCATGCGTCTACACACCCGCCCACCCATACATCGCCACAATTTCACACGAACGCAAACATGCATCGATGCACTCATTCACTCGTCGTTCCCGTCGACGTTCCCGTCTTCGTTCTCGTCGTCGTCGTCGGCGTCGTCGTCGTCGTCGTCGCTGTCGTCGCCCTCGTCGTCGCCACGGTCGTCGGCGAGTAGGCGGGCGGGGAAGGGGGCTGGGAGCTTGGATTGGGAAGGGGGGGGGGGGGGGGGGCGGAAAAGGGACGGGCGACGCGAAGGAAATGCGAGCCCCGACAACCAGGCAGACAAGCAGACGCCCCAATAACGGGGCCTCTTGGGCCGTGTGGGGGCGGTCTTGGGGGCCTCTTGGGCCGTCGCAGACGGCATGAAAACGGAAAAATCATGCGTGCCCATGAAACACGTTTCCTCTAAGGAATGGGACGACGTTTGCCTCTTCGAGGTCTTCTTGAGGGCGTCTGGAGGGTAACTTTGGACGTCTTCAAACCATCTTGGGCCTTCTCTGGGCGCTCTTGGGCCGTCTTGGGGCCCTCCTGGGCCTCCCTGAGGCCGCTTTGGAGGTGACTTCAACCGCCTTGGGAGCCTCTTGGGCCGTCTTGGGCGCTCGTGGGGCTGACTTTGGCCGGCTGGGGCCGAACATGGCCGAAATTGGGGTCCACGAGATCTGGGCCTCTCGAAGCCAACCCCCTCACACTCCCCCACTGTTACTGCCCCTGGCCAGCTGAACACACACGCACGCACACACGTACAATCACAATCACGCACAGACACACACACACACACACGCAAGCGCATTCTTCGTTTCCAATTCCGATCATTTCCAAGTCCGGCCACGAATTAGAAACGAGAGGTACCGACTGGATGGGGTCGTTAGCGGTGCCCACGAATTAGAAATGAGCTCTCTGTACGCGCGCTTGGCTTCATACACAAGGCTGCGACGACACAGTTTCTTTTGCAGAAAGAGCATTCGCACTGCCCAGCTTCGTTTCGCGGTGTTCTGGGAGCACGTTGGGGTAGAGACCATCGCGCGCTCGAGCTGGAGACCTCCGACGAGCCCGCAATGATTCGCGAGAAGCTTGGCCTGCTTAAGCCACGATCGGCCATCACATTTTTCTGCTACTTGCCCTGCAGGGCTCTTGTATTACAGTGAGGGGTCCCCCCTCAACCGCAGACAGGTGCATGCACCCCCCACCCTGCTTTCGAGGCCACAACCTTTTGAAACAAACGATGGGTCCGCGCTCCCGAAGCCACGATCATTCGACACCACACAATGCCTCCGCGTCCCGAACTTCCAAGACGGCCAAGGAACGTAATCAAGGCAACGAAGATGGCCCAAGACGCATCGAAGACGGGCCAAGATGGCCCCAAGGCGGCCGAATCTGGTCTCGACGGCCCAAGATGCCCCCAGGAAGCTCCAAGAGGACCTCCACCATGGCCCGAATAAGTCAAAACTCCTTGATTGCCCGTAGGTCTTTGAATGATGTGCACGTCGTTCATTTCTAATCGTGCTCATTTCCAGTGGTGCTCGCTTATAAGTGTGCCTGGCCCCCCTAGTGGCCAGGAAGAGGCCCAGGATAGAACAACTAGAAATGAAAGGATCTTGGCCCCCCAAAAAATCAAAGAACTGTCGAAGAATTGGAAAGGAGCAATGTGTGTTCCTTCTCGCCTCCTTCTGGCCTCCGTCAGCTCGAGATGGCCCAGGATGCCCCCAGGAGGCCCCCGGGAGGCTCCGAGAGGACCTCCACCGTGGCCCGAGTAACCCAAACTCTTTAAAATCCACCGTATAGGTCTTGGAATGCTGTGTTCCTTCTCGCCCCCCCCTGGCCTCCGCCAGCTCCAGACGGCCCACAGAAGCCTCCACGACTGGCGACTGCACTTCCACGGCCCAGGAGCAGTCCCTTCCCCCGAGGGGTCTCAAGGTGGCCCACAAGAGGACCCCGCGGGGGCCCAAGGAACCATACGTCCACGGCGGCCCCAAGACGGCCCAAGGGGGCCTCCCGTGGGATCCGAGACGGACTGCCTCCAAGGCCCCCCCCCTGGCGCCCACCCAGACGGCCAGGAGTGCCCCAGGACGGCCCAAGAGGGCCCCGAGGCGGCTCAGGAAGGCCCCCAAAGGGCCCAAGAGGGCCCCCAAGGCTGCAGCACAGGAGGCCAAGACAGCATCCACACGGCCCAAACGAGTTGCATGAGAGCTCCTCAAAAAGTGAAGGCATGCGACGACGAAACGTGTCACATGTGACGGCCTTCCCTCCTTTTCCTCCTTCTCCTCCTCCTCCTCCCTCGTTCTCCTCCTCCTCATCATCTTCCTCCTCCTCGCCTCCACCTCATCATCACCACCACCATCACCACCATTACCATCAACATCATCATCATCATCATCATCATCATCATCATCATCATCATCACCATCACCATCACCATCACCATCACCATCATCATCATCATCATCATCATCATCATCATCATCATCATCAGCATCATCATCATCGTCATCGTCGTCATTATCATCATCATGACTCCCCCAAGCCTGAAGACACGAGGTGCCACACGTGACGGCCTCCCGTGCCCCATCGAACAATCGCCACCCAGAATGCTGGGCTGGTACGGTGGCGGACTTACCGCAGGCAGCTAGATGTCAGAATGCCATCGTGATCTGCAAAAACGTGTATGCCAAGTTCGCTCCGCTGCTTACCCGATACTATAGCCTCCAAAACACCAAAAAGTGAGGCGTTGGTGAAACCTGTCGAAATATCGAGCAGTGCAGTCGGTGCGCCACTCCACCACGCCTCCACAAGGGACGAGGCCATGAAGCACGTGACGGTGACGTCAGCAATGAGTGATGCCATCTGACTACAGATGAAGCGTATAAGCGCTGCGAGTAAAACCTTCAAACAAGAGCTGAGAAACGTCTCTTGTGCTCTGTTTAAAACACTTGTTCGGCTTTTGGAGGTTCCCCTGAAATTTAAGAGACGTTAGAGACGCAAACACGCAGAGACAAATGTATCCAAGTACGTATGATTGGGCTCCTTGTGGGACTGCGTGCAGGGCCCCGCGGGGCTCATGGGGCCTTTCTTCGGCCATCCTATCCTGTTCACATCGGGGCCACCTGCGGCTCTTGAGGCTCTCGAAGAAGCCCCTCGAAGCCTCTTGTGAGCTTCACGGGGTCTCCCCGGACTTCACAGACCTGGCCACTGAGGGACGCTCGGGTAGCCAGCTGCTGGACTGGCCCTGCGTTCTGCCGGCGGATCGCCTGGCCAAGAACGAATTTTGGGCGGGGCACCGCCCCCATACTCCCCCGAGACCGCCCCCAGGGGGACACTAAACGGACACTTCTCCACAAGGTCGAAGGAAGATGCCCGCCTTTCTGGCCTCTCCTCCTTCTCCCTCCCTTTCTCCTCCTCTCCCTCCGTTGGTGCGGGGGTCTCCCTGGTGGGCGTCGTCGTGTTCCTGGTCGTCATCTTCGGCCTTGTGGTGGAGAGGGTCCAGGATGCTGGCGCTGAATTCATCCCCGTGCTTACGGAGCGAAAGAATGAGACCCGTCGCCGTCGTCGTCGTCGTCGTCCTCCTCCTCCTCCTCCTCCTCCTCGTCCTCCTCCTCGTCCTCCTCCTGTTCCAGCTGTTTCAGCCGCTCCTGTGCTTGAAGTACACCGCGATCGAGCGCGACAGCTGCGCGTCTGTGAGGATCATGGGGTCCTCCAGGGGACCAACAACGCGAGGAAGTTTCGACCTCCCAATTCATTAAACGGGGCGACCACCTCGGCCGCGTTCGATGCCTCGTCTTTGAACATGCAGAACTCTAAGCAAAAGATGAGAAAGAGATTGCGCCATTGAGGAAAGGTTTACCGAGGATACCCCGCAAAGACGTGGGGCCCCAACTCGAGTATGGCCGAAACCTGATGGTGGGGTCTCTGTATACAAATCCTCCCCATGAGCTAGCACGACCACTGGTATGTACCAGGGGTCTATGTGTACCCACTCCCCATGGAAAAATTCTATATGGGGTCTATCGACAGCCCCTCCACTATGAACGCACTCCATCTCAGCTAGTGACAACAATGTTTCTGCCACGCATTCGACTGTAAGGCTCTGCCCCAGTCGGACAAGTTCTGCAGTTATCTGACTGTCGCCTCTTCTCCAAAGATGGCTTAAATACCCTGGATCATATCCACCGATCCGGCGTGTGAGGTTCAAAAAGCCTCAGCTACAGCCTAGAGCCTGAGCTTCAACTCTGCTGGGGGGGGCCGACGGGGGGAACCCTTGCTGCGCCTGTCCTCCGCTTTGCTCCGCTTTGCTGGGGGGCCTCGGACACGTCAAAATGTACAACTCAGGACCTCTTAGGCCCTACACAATGGCTGAGCGATCGGGCCCAGGCGCCAAAGATAGGCTCAAATCGGCTGCAAAAGCGCCAACGACGTCAGAAGAGGCCCCAAGAGCACCCCGAAGAGGGGGCCAAGAGGCAAAAGCCATTCAATCTCTGAGCGAAAATCTACATTTCTAGCATGTCCGACTTCTCGGCCTTCACGACGTTCAAGACGCCCCAAAAAGTTTACAAGACGGTCCCGGAGACCCCGAACACCGCCCCAGACGCCTCAAGAAAGCCCCGAAACCGCCCGATAGGCGCCCAAGACGGCCCAAGAAAGTTCCAAGACAGCGCCAAGAGAGGCCCCAGAGGGGAAGCCCGAACCGATAATTCCTGCCTTCCGCCGCGAAATACCCTCTCGAGGTCCCAAGAGGCCCCCCAGAGCCGCTAAGAGACCCCCTTATGAAGCCCCCAAGACGCCCCAGGAGGCCCTTAAACAAGCGCCCAATAGGCTTCACAAGCTGCCTCTAAACAAAAAAAACGAGAGCCCTCTCACGACACCCCCACCCACATCTCAGGGGCTTCCTTGTCACCCTTGCCCAGGCACGGTGGCAGAATGGGCCGAAGGCCATCAGAGAATGCCCTAAGAGCCCCAGCGCCCAGCTCTCCCCGCTTAACAACCAAATCAAAGGGGGAGGGGGGGGCGGGGTACGAAAAAAAAAGGCGAGAAAGGAGGAACCCGGTGCCCTCTGCATGCTCACTCGGCGCACAAGCATCCAGCCATCCCTGGATCGGCGCATTGGCCGGATGCTATTACAATATCGTGGTTGGTCATGTGCCATCACTCCTTCCACCCTCCTTCCTTCCTTCATTCCTTCCTTCTTTCCTCTCCATCTCAGACGACAGCCGAGGGCCTCTTTGTCCTCCTCAACACAATCTTCCTCCATATTGTCCTCCTCCTCCTTCTTCTCCTCCCCCTCCTCCCTCCTCTTCCTCGTAACCATCGTCGTCGGCGTCGTCCTCCTCCTCCTAATCCCGTTACTCTTTCTTCGGGCGCGCTAGAAAGTCAAGACACGAGGGTAGAGAAGAAAGGACTCGCCATAAAAGAGAACGTGCGACCCAACCAAACGCGACTAGGACACCTCGCCCTCCTCTTCCTCCTCCTGCCACTCCCCCCCCCCTCCTCCCCGTCGCACCAGCAGGCGTGCCGGAAGGGCTGGCCGGGCGTCTCGCCTGAGGCACCCTTGTAGCTTATCATCCTGGAGCTTGCGACCTACAGCTGCACATATGGAGGGCTGCCTTTTTCGACCTGAGGCTCGCGCCTGAGCGCCGCGCACATTCGTCATAACAACTCGCAACAAGTGCACGGATGGAGGGCAACAAGTGCATGGCTCCCGCTGCAGCGCCCAACACATTCGTTTTACCTGTTCGGAACAGCTACACGGACGGAGTCCAGACAGGATGTGGCTCTCGCCGTTGCAAGCGCAGATTGTTTTCACATTCTGCCAGAGCTAATCCACGCGAGGGCAATCGCGTTTTCGAAATGGGGCTCTCGCTGGAGAGATCCCGGGTTCTTTCCACCGAAACTGTTCAGTGCGCATGAGCTGCACGGATGGAGGGTTCTCTCTTCTCATCATGGGGCTCTCGCTTACTGCCTCCTCAAGTTTCATGCCCACACGCTTAAACACAGATGCCACAATGACGTGGATGGAGGGCGACCCCCTCTTGCACGCGTCTCGGCCGCTTGACATATCCTTGGTCCTATGTCCGAAAGGGCTGCAGGGATGACGGCCGTCCGTTCCTTTTCAGGCGGGGTTCCCGCCTGAATGGCAGGCCCATTGATCGCTCGCAGCTCAAGGGGGCGATCCCCGTGGCGACGGGGAATGCACGGGGGAGGGACTTGCAACGGGACAGCGTATTGTTGCGTGGTTCGTGTACCTTGGATTCCTCCTCCCAGTACGCCAGCGTGCCGTAGGCGCAGAGTGGTCACTCACGGCGTGGTCGATCAGATATCAACCGAAAGAAAGAAAGAGAAAAACCAGGAATCCCCATCGGACGGCAGTCCTCCACTCGAGCCGCCCTGGCACGATCTGCCAGCGGGGAGCGGCATCGCAGAGCCAAGCGGGCTTTTCACCGAGGGTTCCTGCGGGACCTGACGATACTCCACTCTCAGGCGCTCGCGGGCTCTCCCGGGAATCCAGCGTGCGACTTCTCCGGGGGCCTCGAGGCATGGCCGCGGGCTTCCACCTCCAGCATGCTCCCGGGACTGCCCAAAGGGGCCGTTCTGGGGCGATCCTGGCGGTCCCGTGGGGCCGTCCCGAGAAGGCAACACCGCTGAGCAACCTCACTTCTTGCCTTACGTCACCGTGCGTTGCTAGGGCTCGACCTAAACAGCGTCGTTCGTTTTCGGTTTGGTCTCGAGGCCCCTCGTTCTGTCTTCCATCCGCCCTTACAGCAAAACGACGTCGAAACGAAAACGGCCCACGAAGTCACCAAAGCACCGTTTCGGTCCACCCCTGTACTTTGCTTTTCGGTCTTAGGAGCGTCCACGGCGGGTCAGAAGGCCATGAAGACCGCCAGGAGGCGGCCCCGAGGGCCCCCAAGATAGGCCTCCGAGACGGCCCCGACAGGGAAAACACGAACTGACATTCGGAGCCTTCCACACCAAGATGAACCCTTCCAGCGTTTTCGAACAAAAACGCCCAGGTACAACGAATAGAAGATGGCGCAAGAGCGCCCCCCGCGCCCCAATTTCAATGTTCATCTCAGGGAGCAGGCCGCGGTTTGCAAATGTGAGCGTTCGAAACGACTCGTGCCCCCCCGCGTCGACCACCCCGGACTTTGAATTCAGGGCAAGGGTGTTGGACCCGCTCCAACACGCAATAGAGATGGGCGTTTGTTCATTAAAACCGCAGTTAGACCCCCTAACATGCCCCCAGAGGCTCGCAAGAGGTCCAGGAGGCCCCAAGAGACATCCAAGGAGCCCCCGAGACGCCCCAAAAAAGCATCCAAGAGGCCCCCAGCAGGCCTCCCAAGAGACCCCAGGAGGCCTCTCAGAGGCATCTGGTCAACGACCCAGGTACGGTGGTGGGGTGGGCCGAAGGCCACTACGTCCGCCGCCCCCTTATGTGGCCTTTCAACAAGGGTGCACGGCGTGCCAAATGTCTGGCAAGCGTGTGATTCTTTTCGAAAGGACTCCCAGTGGGGTCTCGGCCCAACCCGCCGGCCACCAGGAGAGCTCCCCCATTTCGGTCTCCGTGGGCCCCATGGGCTCCAAGACGGCCAAGCCAAGATGGCCTCCAAGATGGTCCCACGACGCCTCCAAGACGGCCAAGGTCCCGAGAGAGCCCAAGATGGCCGAATCATGTCTTCAAGACGGCCTAAGGTGTGCCCAAGACGGCCTAACATGGCTTCAAGATGGCCCAAGACGGCCCAAGAAGCTCCCAAGAAGCCTCCAAGGCGGCCCAAGAGGCTTCCAAGAGGATCCACAGGAATGCCCGAAGTGGCCAAAATCAGTGATTCCCCTTATGCTGTTGAAGGTTCTTGGCTTTTGCGCCTTTTCGGGCTTCCGACGGCCCATGACGGCCTCAAGATCGCCCCACGATCATCGCAGGAGTGCTTTTGTATATTTCGCGAAAACGACCGTTACCAGCCCCGGCCGCCGAACCCCCCTCCTTCAGGTAACGTCACGATTCGTGCTGACGTCCGAGCTGTCTTGTGTTATTCCCAGACATTCCCAGACAACGCAAGAACAAAATGTGATGTCACCTGCCCCGCCCCCCCCCCCTCCCTCACCCCCCTATGGCGCCCGCAATCGCCCGGGAACGAAAAAACGCTCTCCAGAGGCCTCCTAGATGGCCCCAGGACGGCCCAAGAGGCCTCCGAGACGGCCCCAAGACGGCCCAAAAGATTTCCAAGACGCCCAAGATGGCCTCCAAGGCGGCTGTGGAGCGCCCAAAGAAGGCTCCAAGTCCGTTCAGAAAGGCCCCCAAGACGGCTTCCAACAGCGTCAGAAGCACCATGAACGTCTTGTGACTGCGACAGGGGCCCCCAAAGAAGCCCGCAACTGCCTCCAAGGAGGCGCCGAAGAGGCCCCCAAGAGGCCCAAGGAGGCCCACAAGAGGCCTCCAAGAGACCCCGGGAAACTCCCCAGAGGCCCCAAGAGTGCCCCAGGAGCCTCCCAAGAGGTCTCCCCATCCTTCTCCTCATCCTCCTTCTCGCTCCCTCTCCTCATTCTCTCCTTCCTCCCCCACGCGTCGAATGGTTTCCACACGGCTGGGGGAACTTATGGTCCAATAGGGCACAGGGCCGTATCCTAAAAGGCAGGGGGCGGCGGTGATTCGCCGTAGGCATCTTCGATCCACCACCCCCTGTGGCTTGCCATAGCGGTGCAGGGCGTGCCAGATGATAGGCAGTTCCCAGCCATCCCGTGGTATTCGGTTTTCGTTTTGAAAGGGACAGTCCCCGCGTCTCCTCATCTCTTCTCCTCTCCCCCCCCTCTCCCTCCTTACTTCTGTTCTCTGTGCCAGTCTATCAGTTCGTTACACCCCTCACACGCTTCGTGAACCCATAGGGAGCCCCACCTGGGGCCCCGGTGGCAGGGTCCACATGCGGCTTCCCGCCAACCGCATATCGAGTTCGGCACACCCCTCACACGTTTTCGCGTCCCCTTATATATCTGTATGTATATATACACATGCAAATATATTCATATCTATATAACTCCACCGAAGGGCCCAATGAAAGGGCCCACGTGCGGCCCCCCGCCCACCGCATGTTCATCTCGGCACACACACCTCACACGTTTCGTGGCCCCGTGGGAAGCTCCACCGAAGGCCCCAGTGGCAGGGGCCACATGCGGCCCTCCGCCCACCGCATATTCAGTTCCGCACACCCCTCACACGTTTCGTGCCCCCATAAAAAATTCCACTGGAGGGCCACATGGCAAGGTCCACATGCGACTCCCCGCCCACCGCATGTCCATTTCGGCTCCCCCGTCCAAATTTTCGCGGTTCCATGGAGAGCCCCACAAAAAGGCTACAGCCGCAAAGTCTACACGTAATTCCCCGCGCATCGCATGTCCGTTTCGGCACACCACTCACACGCTCCGTGGCCCCATAGGGATTTCCAACGAAGGCCCCAATGGCACAGTCCACACGCGGTTCCGCGCCCACCGCATGTCCATGTTGGCACACCCGTCACACGCTTCGTGGCCTCAAAGGGAACTCCACCGACGGCCCCAGTGGCAACGTCTACATGCGGCTCCCCGCCCACCGCGTGTCCATTCCGGCACACTACTCACACGCTTCGTGGCCCCAAAGGGTGCTCCACCGAGGACTCCAGTGGCAGGGTCCACATGCGGTTCCCCGCCCACGGCATGTCAATGTCGGCACACCCCTCGCACGTTTCGGTGTCTCATAAGCAGCCCCACCGCAGGCCCCAATGGCAGGCTCCCCGCACGAGTCCGCGCCCACCGCATGGCCATTGCGGCGCACCCCATCACACGCTTCGTGGCTCCATAGGAAGGAAGCTCAACCGAAGGCACGCCCTCAACGACGCGTTTCCGTGGTTCCCCTGCGCCCTGCCTCCAGGAGCTGCCCGACGCCCGCGCGATGTGCCCAGCGACCTTGCCCGTTGTCAGCCACCCATGTTTTTTTGTGTTCCGTGCCGCGGACAACCCGCGCGCATTGCTGGGACTCCTTCCGGGCGACCAGCGCGCGTTGCGGGGATTCCGCAGTGCCCTGAGCCGCGGTCACCGGGGCGCAAGGACCAAGAGGGGAGAAATACGAGATAAGGAAATGGAAATAAAACGACGGGGCCCGGGGCTCGGGTCACCGCGGGCCAGGCGGGCAGGAACGCAACGCCGCATACTGGAAACAATCAAGGAAAGGAGCAAAAGAGCTGGGAAGGAAGTGGGCACGAAATGGCGGCGCACGGGGCTCGCGCCAAACAGTACATTCCCTGCGAATCCCAACGGCTTTCCTCTCCCAGTCAACGCCGCAGTCCTGCTCGTGGTCCCCGCCTCCTCCTCACCTGCCCCGCGATACTCGAAGCCGATTATGGCAGGGCCCTTCGCCAGAGCAATCAAGAGCTCCCAATGGGGTATCGGCCGAACCCGCCGGCCACCCGGAAAGCTGTGTTGACTGCGATCTTCATCAATCTTCCCGCGCAGGACGGCCTCCAAGACGGCCTCCAAGACGGCCAAGATGGCCTCCGAAATGGATCATGTCCCCGACCCGTTTCCAAGATGGCCCAATACGCACACGTGACGCTAAAGATGGACCCGAGATGACCTAAGACGGCACGAACAGGGCAATGGCATGGCCAGACCTCATCCCACAGTTTGGCCGCATGGCCGTTTCCAAACGGCAGGTGGCGGCGGTGATTCGCCGCAGGCGTCTTCCATCCGCCATCCCCTTCTGCTCGCAAAAGGGTGTTTGGGGTTCCGAATTTTCGGGTAAACTGTCTGGCTTTTCCACAAAATGTTCTCAGCGAGGTTTCGGCCAATCCCGCCAGCCACCCGGAAAAATCCCATAGGACCTTCCTCCAAACATGGCCTCCAAGTCGGACAAGACGACTCCGAGACGGCCCAACATGACCTCAAGGCAGCCCAAGATGGCCTCCAGGTGGCCCAAGAAGGCTCCATTAGGCCCTCCAGCAGGGCCCGACGAGGCCAAAATCATTGATGTCCCTAAATTGTTGAAGGATCTAAGCGCGCTCGCCTTTTAGAGCTTCCCAGAGGCCTCCAAGATATCCCCCAGACGGCCCCAGCAGCCCCAAAGAGACCACCAAGATGGCCCCGAGACGTTCCCACAGACCTCCAAGACAACCTGAAAGCGTCCTCAGAGGGCCCCAACCAGTGAGCCCCCTAAGACGGCCTCCGAAGGCCAAGAGACCCTTAACGGCCCACGCAGGCTCCCAAGGATCACCCAAGAGGCCCCAGGAGGCCCCCAAGAGGCCCTCGGGAAGCCCTCAGGAGGTCCCAAGAGGCCCTCCCAAGAGGCCTCCTCTTACTCGTCCACCTACTCCTCCTCCTTCTCCTCCTTCTCCTCCTCCTCCTCCTTCTCCTCTCGCTCTTCCTGCCCTGGCGGAACACATAGTCAAAAAACTTGGCAAGACTGCGGCCCAACGTTTGGCCATATAGGCGTTTCCTCGAGGCAAGGGTTGGCGGTGGTTCGCCGAAAGCGTCTTCGATCTAACTCCTCTCATTCCACGTCATCTTCCTCATCATCCAAGTTCGTGGTGAACAAACACTCCTTCGTGCCCCCCGTGCTTCAAGCGTGGATCACCAACGCCACCACTATCGTCCCGATCATGGGGTTCGTGTTTTCGGCTCGTCTCTGCCCCCTGCCCAGTAACTGTGGGCCATCTGGCTCGTCATAATCACAATACTAAGCACCATAGCCACAATCTTACTCACAATCGCAACCATGACCATAATACCGATCATTCTCATCCTCATCCTTATTATCATCCTCTTCCTCCTCACCATAGTCATCATCATCAACCACATCATCATCATCATCATCATCATCATCATCATCATCATCATCATCAGCATCAGCATCAGCATCAGCATCATCATCATCATCATCATCATTATCATCATCATCATCATCATCATCATCATCATCATCATCAGCATCATCATCATCACCATCATCATCATCATCATCATCATCATCATCATCTTCGTCATCCTCATCATCATCAACCTCATCAGCATCATCATCTTCATCATGATCATCACCATCATCGTCTTCATCATCTGCTCCAGCAACATCATACTCATCATCATCTTCATCAGCATCATCATCAGCATCATCAACATCAGCATACTCAACATCATCATCATCATCAGCAGCATCGCCATCGTCATCGTTATCGTCATCTTCATCATCAGCATCATAAGCATCATGATTATCACCATCAGAATATGCCTCTTCATCTCCATCACCATTATCAGCATCATCAGCAGCATTATCATCAATAACAACATCATCATCCTCATCCTCATCCTCATCCTCATCATCAGCATCATCATCATCACCGTCACCATCACCATCACCATCATCATCATCATCATCAGCATCATCATCATCAACCTCATCATCATCATCATCATCATCATCATCATCATCATCATCATCATCACCGTCTGCCGCCTGCTCCTCCTCCTCATCTTCTAGACTTGCGCTCCGTCGGGGTCGTCTCCACGAGCTCCGCACACGTCGCCAGGAAACGACCATCGTCGAGCACCTGGGACAATGCCGCAGGACCGCGACGAATCCTTCGTCTCCTCGTGCGAAGTAGATCGGCGAGGGGATCGCTCGTGATGGGCACAAGAAGTTCTGCACTGTCTCAGGCTACGGGCCGCTCACGGATCGGTATGGCTCTAGGACAGAGATCACGTCCATAGATAGATCGAGGGAACTGGTCGTGATAGTTTTGGGACGTCGCGATTTGTTCACAAAGTCGGATGTTGGGAAATACGTGAATCCACGAGGTTCGAATCGCAGCGAAACGAAGCACTCAACAACGCAGCGCAAAGTGCACGTAAAGTGCAGACAATCGCAGAAATTGCGTCGCTCGCCAACCTGGCTGCTCTGCAGTGAGGTGGCACGTGGCTTAATATTACTCGGTGCGCTCGACACATTAGCCCGACCCTTCATACAATGATGCAACGTGGCGGCGCACCCATAGAACATGATAGACCACGTCATCGGAAGCTGTCGCACAGGAGTGGGAAGCGTGGCTGTGTGTCCTTGCCGCCGCTTTGGCTTGTGTGACGACGGTGTCATCGCCAGTACCTCTTGCTGCTGCATTTAAGCTTTGTTATGTGGTGTGTGTATGTTTACTTACGTGTATGTGCTTGTGTGTTGTGAATGCGCGTGTGTGTGTGTGTGCGTGTGTGTGTGTGTATGTGTGTGCGTGTGTGTGTGGTGTGTGTGTGTGTGTGGGTGTGTGTGTGTATGTGTGTGTGTTTGTGTGTTTGTTTGTGTGTGTGGGGCTGTCCTGGTGTCCTGGTGGCGCCACGGCTGTTTATGTTATGAGGATGATGGGATGGCTGCTGGGGTGAATTGAACAAGCCGGTATTGCTGATTGGTCCGAAGTCTCAGCGGGGAACAAAGGCACATCGTGACACATGGCTGCACATCAAGATGAACCTTGCACGTAGGGTCTGACTGAAAGTCACGGACACGGGACGGGCCGTGCGTGGGTCGCGGAGAGGGCTCCCGATGGGTCGCGGGGCGGGCGTTGGCTGGGTGTTTGCAGGGGGCGGGGGCGGTTCGCTGAGGGGGGGGCAAGTGGCAAGCGATCTACTAATGGGTGAGCTCCGTGCTATCGGAGGCGACACAGGGGCGAATAGCCCAGAGGGCAATCCATGTATCCAAGGGCGCCGATGGTCCATGTCCTCGGCGAGGCTCCCTGGCGAACACGTGTAATGCCAGCCCTTGGGCTTGTCGCCCCTATCGTCGCCCCTCCGATCTTAGCACACAGACGGGCGTGTCGCGGGGGAGGGGTGTCGACAGCTGCAGGAACGAGGAAGGCCCCGCCACCCCCGCCCGTTCCCACCACCCGCCCAATGACGAAGTAAGACCGTTCGAGCCTTTTCCCTCTGGTGCAAGCGGGGCCCGGGCAAGAGAGTGAAATTCGGGTCAAAGCCAGCGTCCCAACGCAAGCATCGGCACCAATTGCGCGACGTCCATGCCGGATGTATGGCGTGACGCCCCCCCATGGTTTCAAAGCTGGCGGCAGATATTATTACGAGTTCGGTTCCTAAGCGGCATTCGCTCTGCAATCCAAGTTTGATCTTGGAATGTCGGGGGAACGGTGCCCAGTTGTTTCCGTCTACCGTGTGGCGCCCGACGATGCGATGCTCAACGAACTGATCGAACCCCCACCACGCACCGAAACTAAAATACCATTGCTCCCGCAATTGCGGATAAAATTGAGGGGGGAGGTAGCCGCTGGCAGTTCGCAAGGATTGGTAGCAAATGTGAAGATGCCCGCCGCAGGCGACTTTCCTTTCGTTACTAGCCCGTGGTGTTGGGTCCCCGTTTTGAAGAGACAGCGCCCCGCGTGTCACTATCTCCTCCTCCTCCTTCTCCTTCTCCTCCTCCTCCTCCTCCTCCTCCTCCTCCTCCTCCCATCCTTGCCTGTGCCCTCCGCATGTCAACGATTGCGGCACTCCCCTCACATGCTTCGTGTCCCCAGATGGAGCTCCACCGAAGACCCCAGTGGCAGGGTCTGCATGCGGCTCCCCGCCCACCGCGTGTCAATTTCGGCACACCCCTCACATGTTTCGTGGCCCCATAGGGAGCTCCACCGAAGGCCCCAATGGCAAGGCCCACATGCGGCTAATTACCAGCCCACCGCATGTCCATGTCGGCACACCGCTCACACGCTTCGTAGCCCCATAGAGAGCTCCATCGAAGGCCCCAGTGGCAGGGTCCACATGCGGCTCCCCGCCCACCGCATGTCCATGTCGGCACACCTCTCACACGTTTCGGCGCCCGATAATTACGGAGCTCCACCAAATGCCCCAGTGGCAGAGTCCACATGCTACTCCCCGCCCACCGCACGTCCATGTCGGCACACCCCTCACGCGTTTCGTGGCCCCATGGGGAGCTCCAACGAAGGCCCCCGTAGCAGAGTCCACATGCGGCTCCCCGCCCACCGCATGCCCATTTCGGCATACCTCTCGCACGCTTCGTGGCCCCACAGGGAGCTCCACCGACGGCACAGCCTCCACGCGTGTCGTGGCCGGGGCTCGGGCCACCGCGGGCCAGACGGGCAGGAACGCGACGCCGCAAGGTGGAAACGAGGAGAGGAGCGAAAGACCTGGGAAGAAAGTGGGCACGAAGTGGCGGCGCACGGGGCTCGCGCCAAGCAACACACTTCCCCGCTGGCCCAACGGCTGTTCTCCCCCAGGCAGCGCCGCAATCCTTCTCCCGGCCCCATCCTCCTTCTCACCTGACCCGCGGTGCTCAAAGTTGCGTGTGGTTGGGCCCGCCGCCGGGATAACCGCTGGGCGAATCCCGCGGCCGGTCGGTCGCAGGTGGGTCGCGCCTGCGTCGCGGGGCGTGCCGCGAGTGAGTCACAACGGGTCGGCGGCGAGGCGGGTCGCGAGGTGGGTCGCGAGGCGTGCCGCGGGGGCGGTGCCGACAACAAGAAGAGCGAGAACTCGCACCGAGGGAACCCCACCTCGGCCACTCCTCCAGGGACAGTGCGAGTACAAGAAAGCAAAACAGCAAAAACATCGACTTCCGTAGGCCCGCGTGGATTGCTTGGATCGGCGCTGGACCCCCTCCCTGATGCGCGGGCCGCGCCAGGGGCGGCGCCGGAGGCGCCCGCCGCCAGGGGGCCTAGCGCCGATCCAAGGAATCTGCGCGCACTTCCGACCGTTCATATGCACGACGCTTGCTCTTTCGAACGAGGCCGCTCGGCCCCCCACCCGGACCACCCTCGAGCTCCAACCGTCCACTGGTGCCGGGTCACTTTTCCCGGGCCTCGCCCTCGGGCACCCGCCTGTCGCCCGCCTCCCGACAACCCTCCGCCGCGCCTCGTGAGTGTACATCGGCTTGTCGGGCACGGCGTAGCTGTCCCAGTCGCCGACGATGAGCTCCTCGGGCCCACTTCGCACCCGCCCCGCTGATCACTTGCCAAGATTGCCATGCGGATCAGAGCGGACGCGCGCAACACACAGGAGGGGCGACGTGATACGGCACGCGGAAGAAGGGAGGGAGGGAGGGCAATTCGCACCGGAATCTTCTGGCTTCTTTGAGGAAGCGTGTCGCGTAAGCTGACGCCACAGGACTGTCACGCGCGCCACCCACGGGTGTGCCCAAACATCCACTCTGTCTCCAGGCCTTCCCTCCCTGGGCAGATAGAGGCTGCGACTCATGCTCTTGGGGTGCAGGCAGGAGAGTTTCGGACCCTCGAGACAACAGCACAAAAGGGAAGCTGCCGAACCTAGCACAACAACTGCGGCCCAGTGGTCCAGGAGGTTCGGCCCTCCCCGAAGATCTGCGCGGACAGCGGGTCACAGCCCCTCGAGAGGCGCTCCAGCACGCACCGCCGCACCCAGAGCGCGGCACGACGAACAAATAATGAGAACCCCCCGACTACACCTACCGGGCCACCCCATCGCAACCTGACCCGAAGACCCGAATTTCGGGTGGGGGGGGTACGGGTTCCACAGTTCCACGTCTGTGTTTTTTCAATGTTCCCCGACCTCCCTCGGACCGAACTGCCCCCCCCAAACCTGCATGTGAATGCGGGTTCCTCGTAACATCTTGAAATCCGAAACATGTGAATCGGGCATGCCATTGCACCACAGAGCACCAGGGAAAAATTATACTATCCGCGGCGCTGGCGCGAAAGGGAAAGCGACGACGAGGACGACGAGCATGACGACGACGACGACGACGACGACGACGACGACGACGACGACAATGAAGACAAGGGCGACGTCGACGACCAGTTCGAGACAACCCACCTGCGCGCACCACAGCCGCATGGGCGCTGCAGTTTGCAGGTGCGCCACGAAAACAGCAACCCAAAAAATAAGCAACTTTGAACATGACAAAATTCACCGAAAATTCGTTAGGGGTCCAGTTGAGCCCGAGCCTCCCCCACTGGAAATGGAAAGCAAATCGGGGCCTTCGGGTTGGGTTGGGGTGGTCTGGTGGGCGGTAGCCCCCTGAGCCCAGAAGCCAGAGAACCTCCATTGGGGGTGCCAAGCCTCCGCACTGGAGGAACAACCTCTCCAGAATGGAAGGAGCATCCATAAGAAGAAGACGAAGAAGAAGAAGAAACGGCATAAACAGAAACTTTTGGCGCTCCGCGCGGATTTCTTGGATTCGCGCTGGGCCCTTCTCCCTGTCGCGCGGAGGGGCGGCGCCGGAGGAGCCGCCAGGGGGCCCAGCGCGGATCTAAGAAATCCGCGTGGAGCGCCAAAAGTTTATGTTTATGACGTTTCCCTTCTTCGAATAATGAAGCCAGACACCCATGTTGTAGGATTTCGACGCCTGACCGAGCCAGTGCCAGCGAGACCTGCGAGCAGCCCTCGGATAAGGGCCACAAGGAAGAGAGTGTGCCTTGGGATGCCTGCTGGGGCCCAGGGAGCCACGCTGGTCGCCCGCAGAAGGCGGCGTGCGTGCGCACTCCGAGAAGCTCCAGAGACTCCAACCTTGATATCTGCGCTCCTCCACCTCCTACTCCCCCTCCTGCTTATGTGGCTCCCCCATTGCTCTTCCGTCTCCTCCTCCTGCTGCTCCTGACTCCGCGAAGGCACTGGTCCCATCCAGGGCTGTCACAGAGGGGCACGTGCGTGGAAGGAGGCTGGAGAGGTGTGGAAAATACACGAACTGCTGTGTGTGTGAGTGTGTGTGTGTGTGTGTTTGCTTGCTTGCTTGCTTGCTTGCTTGTTTGCTTGCTTGCTTGCTTGCTTGCTTGCTTGTTTGTTTGTTTGTGTGTTTGTTTGTTTGTTCGTTTGTTCGTTTGTTTGTTTGTTTGTTCGCCGCCTATGCGGAACGCCGTAGCTTCGCACCGTCTCAGCCCAAGCCGCGCGCCAAGGCAAACGATGCAGGCGGCGGTGGGTGAGGGGGAAGTACGTGGGTGGGGCGCGGTCCGCTGCGCAGCCACCCAACACCGAAGTACACACCCAGCACGCTGCTCTTGAAAGCACTCAACCGCCAGGACCGGCCCCTTCCCCGTACTGGTGGACCCAGCCTGCGCGCAAACACACGCGACGCTGGACAACCACGGTGCTGCAAGCCGAACGCGGCATGCAGCTCGTGCTGTTGCGCATTGTCTCGGCGAGGGTGGGTGTCAGTCGGTTCCGGGTGGCGCGATGAGGCACACCTGCACCGCGCGGGGCCGCACAACGCTCACGATAGCATGTGGGACCGCGGGTGGGTGAGAGAGCGTGCTTGAGCCACACACGTGTGGTGTGCGTGCAGCAGTGAGACGGGCAACGACGTCGACAGCCTCGCGGCAATTCCCTTGGGGGGGGCCACCCCCGCAAGCTGCAGCGCGGTCACGCCAGGAAGCGCCATTCCAGAGGGGTACGCCGCGGCGCAACAAGGATGTGTCATCCCAGCAGGTTTCACCGCAGATCCTCCTGAAAGCGCCAACCCACCAGGTTGCACAAGAGAACTACCTGGAGACCAAAAAGGGCGCACTGTAGCGCTTCCTGGGGGCGCTACCCCAGCAGGCTACACCGCGGCGCCTCCTTGAGGCACCATCCCAGCATGCTATACGGCAGCGCCTCGATGAAGCGCCAACCCAGCAAGCATCGCGGCAGCACCCCCGGAGGTGCCGATCCAAGCGAGCACCCTGCAGTGTCTCCTGGAGGCGCAATCTGGACAGGCTGCACCGAAGCTCCTCGCGGATGCATCATCACGGCACGCGACATCGTAGCACCTCCTGGAAGTGTGGGATAATTGAATACAGTGCGAGTCGACACCACAAGAGGAGGAGGAAGAGCAGGAGAAGGAGGAGGAGGAAGAAGGGCAAGAAGTGAAAGCGCGTGGTACCAGTGGCGCCCCCTCCCGCACCAGGCTTGATAGGGCGTGGATCCAGAGGCTTACATACTAATGCAGCTCGGCTGGGGCGGCGGAGCCGCACCGCTGGAGGCGCGCGCAGTCAGCCTGCAGCCTCCGCAGGAGGCTTTCAGAGTCACGGAGCCAAGCCGCCGCTAGGGATGGGCTCCCGCGGGCACATGCCGCGAACGTCTGGCAAAGCCGGCGTCGCAGGTCGTGCAACTCGACGGGGAGGGCAGCGGGAGGGGCACTGGGCTCCATGGCGGCGGTCTATGTTCCAGAAGGCTGGGGCCAATGACTCCAGAGACGGCAAGCACAGCACAGCACAGCACAGGACAGCACAGCACAGCACAGCACACCACATCACACCACATCACAGCACATCACAGCACATCACAGCACATCACAACACGTCAATTGACGTGTGTGTGTGTGTGTGTGTGTGTCTGTGTGTGTGCGTGTGTGGTGTGTGTGTGTGGTGTGTGTGTGTGTTTGGTGTGTGTATGTGTGTGTGCGTGTGCGCGATGCGTACGGTGATGTGGCAAGAACGTGTAGGGAAGCCCAACTTCTGAAGACGCCCAAGCCTCCCGACACACACATCAACGCACAAAATTGTAGTCACAATGAAGACTCGTGGACTCCGTGTCAAAACTTGTGCGCACGATCCACCACAACTGCAGACAACCCAGGAACGCGTGCTGATTTTCAAGCAATGAGGGCACCCACGACTTGGCTGGATCAAGGGCCCTCGACAGTAGGGGAAACCACCACTACGATCATAGCTGAAGACTGTAACGGCGGAGCGGCTCCAGTCCGTAGAAGAGAAGCTCGGAGAGGCTGGGCAATGGGCCCTGGCGGGGTTCCCGAACGCCTGACAAAAGGAGCGGGACGGCGTGGACGGAATCTGGCTGGATGATACGGCCCTCTCGATGTTGGCAAACGCGGTCCGTGGCGACGCGCTAATTCCCTGACAATCCGCGCGTCCCAAATCTGTCATGGTTTGCTCCCTCATGAACGGCGGAATCGCATTGCAAAAGAGGGCCCTCTGGGCCAGATGGGGAGGCGACTACAGATATTCCGCTGCCTTGCGCAACGGGACAATATCCGATTACGTACAGTCAACCCGTACTTATGACAAGGACGCACGATAAACATGCAAGGGCCTTAAAAAGCCGTGTCGGCACTTCGCGAGCGGGGCGCGGTCAGCGAAAGCGGTCAAGGATTGGGCCGAAGGGGAAATGTGCAGGGGTAACGTTGGAAAGTTGCTAATCCTGACTATGCGGGTTGACTGTTATCCGCCACTGTGCCGCTGGGCACGGAGTGAGCGTGTCCCCAAGTCCTCTGCCCAATTCCCTGAGCCTCAGTCCTCACTCCAGAAGAATCTTTGAGCAAGGGGCCTGGAGCCGAAATCGCCAAATCCGCCGGGGCTTGTCGCATGACGACACCGCCAAAGCGCCGTTCGGCTCGAGCCCTGCTTCTCTTGCCAATAGCGAGCCGCACCGAGACACTGCAACCTGAAGGCCCGCACCATCCGGGGAGGAGCTCACACGCCAGGTCGGAGATAACACTCCTGCCCTCGGAGTGGTCAAACCGCACTGCGAGAAGTGGAAGCAGCAGGAGGACAAGTCCTGGCGCAACAGCCGCCCGCGGGGAGCTGAGGGAACGCTCCCGCCCGCCACGCCCGCGTGGAGGTGGCTGCCTTCGCGGTGCAGGCCCGCGCCGCCCCCCTGCACGGCCCATGGCACCGCCCCGGGCCCCAAGACCGGCCGGGAGCTCCGGCGCCGACCCGTGGAGCGCCCCGCTGCAGGCACTCCTGGCCGTGCCTGGCCTCCGGCTGCGCTCGCGCACCGCACACACCCCTCCCGCGCTCGAGCGGAGCACCCCTCTCTAGCGCAAAACCTGCGGGTCCGGGAGCTCTCGTGCGAGAGGGCGGGCAGGAGGCGGGTGCGGGGCCAGCGCCAAGGGGCGCTCCTCGCGATCCCCCGGTTCGCGTGGGCAGCAAGGGGCGAGCGCGTTCCGACAGGGATCGCGTTCCATTCCGGGGATCAGATACCAGGGACCAAGCTGTTCTCGCCGCCCAAACATGTGATGATTTGTACTGGAGTCGCCCGTTCCGACAGGGATCGCGTTCCATTCCGGGGATCAGAAACCAGGGATCAGGCCGCTCTCGCCCTCCAAACAGGCGATGCTTTGTCTAGCAATCTATGAGGTGCACCATTTGTGGGGCGCAGTCGACGTGGTGCAACCCAAATGGTGTAATGCATGTTGTGGTATATATGTGGTGCAGTCTACGTCGTGCAATCGATGTGGTGCAAAATATATGCTGCGCAACTGACGTGATACAATCGGTATGGTGCAATCTATGTGGTGCAATATGTGTTTTTGTTTGATGGTGTGCGTGTCTACCCTTGAAATGTCGATGTGTATATCTATATATCTATAATAGTACAACAAAGAACCGCAACGACAAACGACAACGACGACGATACCATAAACAACAACACCAGTCAATAACACCATCAACAACAACAGCAACACCAACAATAACATCAACACCAACACCAACAACAATAACAACAACTATCACCAACACTACCAACAACAGCATCATCAACAGCAGCAACAGCACCAGCAACACGAACAGCATCATCAACGACAACTACAACTACAACTACAACTACAACTACAACTACAACTACAACTACAACTAGAATGACTACAACAACCACATCAGCAGCAGCAACAACAACAACAGCAGCAGCAACAACAGCAGTAACAACAACAGCGCTTCTCAGCCCCCAAGAGGGTCCCAAGACACCCCCGACGAACCCACAAGACGCCCCGAGAGTCCCACAGGACCCCCAAGAGGCCCTGAGAGGTCCCCAAGAAGCCCCATCAGACCTCACGAGGCGCCCGAGAGGCCCCCATCAGGCCCCCAGAAGCCGCCCCCTCCTCCGCGTCCGCATCTCCAGGAGGTCCACCTCTCTCCCGCCCTCCCCCCCGCCGTCTTGGAGCCCCCCAAGAGAGCTCCAAGAGGGCCCCGAGAGGTCTCCGGGTGACCCCGAGATGGCGCTGCAGCATCCCCGGGTGATGCGGAGATTTTTCGGAACCCTCTTGGAATCTTCTCGGGGCCCTCTTGGAGCCTCTTGGAGCGCTCCCAAGCCGTCCTGGATCCCCTCCTAGAGCGCTCCAAGAGCGCCCGCGGGGTCTCCGGGTAATCCGGAGATGGTTTTGCAGCATCTCCCGGTGACCCAGAGACTTGCCGGGACCCTCTTGGAGTCTTCTCGGGGCCCTCTTGGGGCCCCAGCATGCCCCCAAAGGCCCCCAAAGGGCCCCCCAAGACGCCTCAAGAAGCCCCCAAGAAGTCTCAACAGACCTCAAGAGGCGCCCAAGAGGCCCCTATCAGGCCCCAAGAAACCCCCAGCAGCCCCCCCCTTAAAAGGCTCCCAAGAGGCTCCGCGATCGTCTCAGACATGTACGAATTCGTACCATGTTCGGATACATGGTGACGCTGGCGCTGCGTCTACTTGCGAAGGCTCTCCGCATGCCCCCACGCCGCTTCACAAGAGGCGATCCTGATGGGCAAAATCTCGCAACGTGAGTTTCGGTGGCCCTCTTGGGGCCGTCCTGGGGGCCTCTTGGGCCGCATTGTGGGGCTCATGGGTGGTGTTGGTGCCCTCGTGGGTCGCCTTGGGGCCCTCTTCGGGGGCCTATTGGGCCGTCTTGGGGTGATCCTTGTGGCCTCTTGGGCCGTCTTGGAGCGCTGAAACACCGAAAAAGCGAGAATGCTAAAATACTTCAGAAACTGAAAAGCAAACTATGGTTTCGGCCTCTTGGAGCCTCCGATGGGGGTCCTCTTGAAGCTCCCCGGGAGCGTCTGCAGGGTCTCTTTGGACGTCTTGAAGCCATTGTAAGCGCCTTTGAGCATTCTGGGGCCGTCTCGGAGCCGTCTTGGAGCAGCACAGTCGCATTTGAAGCTCACGCGAAGTCTTTGGATACCTCAGGTTGGAGACCTCCTGAAGGCCCTCTGGGCCTCAAGCCGAGCCCTGCACTAGGAAGCATGTGTACAAACAACGGATACATGGTGACCCCCAGCGTGGAAACTAAAATACGACCCTCTCTTGGGGCCTTCTTGGGTCTCTCTTGGGCCTTCTTGGGGTTTTCTAGGCTGGGAGGGCACGACATTTAACACAACTTAACACAAGACGATCTCCAACAAGGAGGCGGTTTGTGTTGAAACTGCGTTGAATTCTTGGCCCTCTCGGAGGCCTTTCAAGGGCCCTCAGATCCGCAGGGCCCCGAGAGGCCCAGGAGGGCCCCAAGAGGGCCCCAAGATGGCTCCAAGAGGGACCGACATTGAACACAGCACCAGCACCAGTACCACGGGCAGCCCCGGCAGCACCAGCAGCATCAACGCCAGCAACAACAGCAACATCCGTAGCAACAGCAACGAGAGGCAACAACGGAAATACGATTCCAAGATGGACCCAAAAGGATGTTGAAAGGATCACGAGATTACCCCTGCTGCCCCAAGATGCCTATCCCTGCTAAGCAATGGCCCCAATATGACCCCAGAGCGACCCTGCGGCCCCAAAAGAACACTGAGACGAACCCCATCGTCTTCCGACTGAACTAAGGCTTCCGCGTGACCCCGATTCTACTCCGAGGTGGCCCGGGGACGACCTCAAGAGCCCGAGACGACTTCGAGATTGCTCCAAGATGACCCCATTTTGAACCCTAGTTGACCCCAAGATTGTGTCACTAAGGCTCCAATGTGACTTCGATGCGTTTCTTCCTGATGCCCTTGCTCTTGGCTTGGGCCGATGGGACGGATGGGGGTGCTGGCCCTCCGCCCCTCGTCGTCGTCTTCGTCCTTCTCCCCCTCGTCTTCGTCGCCCTCGTCGTCGTCGTCTCTGTCCGCCTGGCCTCTTTGGCCCCATAAACAACAGAAAACCGAATCCCGAACACAAACCGAATCCATCCATTCTCGGATCCTTTGAAACGTTGGCGCCCAAGTCATGGTCTAGTCAAATTTCCCTCCGCCCCACACTGCTCCTCACGCCTCATGTTCCCAATCCTCGGTCTTGTGCACCTCCTCCCCCAACTCATGCTCCTCATGATCGTTCACATGTGCCTGCTCCCGCCGCCACCGCTTCTGCTATCCAACTCCAATCGCGACGAGTACATGTTCGGCTGCAGGCTCCTCGGAAAACATGGACGGAAGTCTGCTCCCCGCGTCCAGGTCGAAGAAGGTCATGTCGAACGCGTCCAGCTCGTAGGGATGACCTTCCGAGCTGGGGCAGGACACATGCGATGCCATGCGCTGCGACCCGCCTTGCGCACCCTGTAGGTGCCGCGGGTTGGGGCCGAAGCGCCCCGAACTACTTAAGACGAAACACAAAATAAATCCTCTAGGCAATTTCACTCCTCCAGGGCGGGGAACCTCAAGAGCGCGCGAACGGAATGCCGCACCTCGCACGCATCAGAAAACATGCTCCTTTTTTCGCAGGGCTCAGTGCTTCCTGTGGCAAGCAGTGGCCGGGGCCCTCAAACCTACAGGACGGACGCTTCGGCCCCGCGTCCCTGAACGGAGAAAAAGGCGCTCGAGCCCCCTGGGAAAGCTCCCGGATGGAAGCCGGCACCGCAGGGTGGCCCGGGAGTTCGTTCCGGTTTCCGTGAGAAATACCAGCAGGAACTCCTGCGAGCCGGCAGCGTGTTCTGGCAGGCCTTTTCTAACCGTTTCCCGGCACGTGTGCTGCCATACTCCCCAAGAGTTCCTTGGGAAGCTCCTCCAGAGAGCTCCCAGAGCTCCTTCGAGGGGTCTCAGAAGGCCTTCCTGGCGCCATGCTGTCCCGGTTTGGGACTTCACAAGTGGCGCGGCACTGCTGGGGTCGGCGGGAGGAGGAGGAGGACGAGGAGGAGGAGGAGGAGGGGTACCCTGAGAAAAGAAGAGGGCAGGCGGGCACGAGCACGAATGAGAAGAGGGCAAATGAGTTAGTCTCTGTCGCCGTGCTCTGGCCTAGCGCCTCTACCTGTATAGTAATGCGAGTGCTGCACGGCGCGAAGCGACCAGGTCTGCTTGCGAGACAGCCGCGGTGCGCGCGCTGGCAGCGGATTACATTTTATTGTATATAGATACATATATATAAATATGGAATACTAAGACGATCCTCGATACAGTCGTTGGCAGTGACACGGGGCTGGTGGGATCAGCCGCATACGCTGCGGCGGGGCCCAGTCCCCACGCCGTCAGCATTGACTGGATGAGGGGAGGATCAGGGAGCCAGAGGAGCCTCGAAAGGGCGGTGCAGGAGAGGTAGTGCGGGAATGAGTCAGGCGCGTCGGGGCATCCGAACGCGCACTTGCGCTGCTGAAGGATGTGCATCCTAGCAGTAATAATCCAACCACTGCTGAGAATCTCGAACGTAGTCCAGCGCCAGCTCGGGCGCATCTGCTTGAGTGTGTCGGTCAACGCGTCCCAGCGCTCCTGTAGCTCCCCAAGTTCCAAAGCGCTTGTAAGCCTCAGGCGAGGAGGCGCTTGGCCAGCGTGACCGTGAAGGGCGATTTAAGCATCTGGTCGCGTAGCTTGACTGCATAGATGAGCTGGAACTTGGCACGGCGCGGTGGGTTCGCAGCTGCCGCATCTCTCTGTTCACTATGAACGGCGCGGGCGGCACCAGCAGTGGATTGGCTAGAGAATGGCGACTGGGGAACGTGGCGCAAGAGCGAACGGTGGTACTGTGCGATCGCAGTCTGAGAAGATCAGAACGGCGGTGACAATTCACCAGCCTGCCAGCGGGACGCGTTCAGTAGCGTTGTTTCTTCCCACGATAAGTCAGCGAGGCGATCGGCGAACGGCTCCCACGCACCTGCGAGCGTGGCTGCCACGGAGCGTGCAGCAGATGCAACAGCTAGAAATTGAGCGGATTGAATGACAGGTGGCGGGCTCCAACCCGCCATGGCAGTCAGGACCACTTTGCGGAAAGAGTTCAGTGGCATGCTGAGCATCTTGTGGAACATGTGCAGTTCTCGGCGGGCAATGGAGGTCTCAAGGGGGAAGAACTGCGAAACATAGCTCAGCGTAGGCAGCACTGATGTATTGTATAAGCGAACAGTTGCGTCGCTGCCACTCTGCACGCGCTGAAGCAAATTACCCCGTTGCCACCATTTTTGCCCAGGGGTGAGCCATTGGCAGGCCAATGAGGCCTCGGGGCAGAGAAAATTGCCAGGTACTTGGCTCGCCCTGCAACCGAGAAGCCGCCCCAAGGAGGTCCGAGTTCGGCCAGGAGCGCTTTCGTAGTGGCAATGGTGGCTGGGGACGCGGCAGACCAGAGAGGTACGACAAAGCACTTGCGTGGCTTCAGAGAGAGGAGCGCGAGCTCCTCCGCAGAGGCAAACGGGGCGGTCACTTGGCGCAGCGTGTCGATCGAGTACGTCAGCAGGCCAATGTCGTCAGCGCATGCACCCAGGTAGCCAATGTCGAGGTTCGGTGTGCCGTTCGAGTGCTCCACAAACGACGCGAGGTGACGGATGATTGGGTCCATGGCTATCGCCCACGCAGAGCCCGAAGCAGGACAGCCTTGCGCCACTCCAAAACCTATCGCGAACATGTCGTGGCGCACGCCGTCGATCTTGTTGCAGATGGAGGGCGCGAAGTGCATGGCCTGGAAGAGGTTGAGGATGCCCTGCGAGAGGCCAAAGCGCTCCAGCGCAATGAAGAGCCAGTCCCGCCCCAATGACGGGAAGGCCGCTGAGAAGTCGAAGCTGGCAAAGACGGGTTTGGATACAAGTGCGTCTGCTAGTAGCCATCCAGCACGGCGCATCTCGGCGTCGAGGCGGACGATGTGTGTGGTGAAGTTGCATCCCTGGACGAAGCCCTGCTGGGTGGAATGGGTGCGCTCTGCTACAGCGCCCTTGAGCATGTAATTAGCAGCTCCTGTGATGGCTTTGATGTCCGTATTTTTCAGCGAGAGGGGGCGCGTGTCCTCCGGCGCCCTGTCAGTGGTGAGCTCGCCCTGTGCGTTATCACCCTTCGGCAGGAAGGCGAAGTCGGAGTCGTTCAGATCGCGGATGTACTACTGGCCCGAGCAGAGGAAGAAGGAGATGTCCTCGAGCATGTCGAGCGAGGCTTCGTGTGTGAGCCAGGCGGAATATGGGAGGGAGTCTGGCCCAGGTGCAGATGGGAAAGTTCTACGCAAGAAGGCCTTGATCTGCGGCTTGGCAGGCGTCCCGATGTCGAGGAGGTCGCCCTTCGGCATGTGCGAGTGGATGTTGTCGGTTACCTTGGCGATGTCGGTGCGCTTCGCCTCGAAGATGGGTTGCCAGTATGTGCGTAGAGCAGCAACGATGGAGCTACTCTTTCTGGCGGTCTGAGGCCCATCAGGGCCTGCGATCTTGACTCCCTGGATGACGAGACGGCGTTTCCAGGGGGCCCAGAGGAGGGCCCCACGCTGTGAGGACCGCATAATGGGCCGTAGCTTCTCTGGGGGCAACGCTCCTTCTTGCCCCTGGGGGCGCTGAGCTGCCTGCTGGGCAAGAGAGAGTTGCCTTGCCTCGAAGTCGCGGTGCAGCTGCGCGGCCTGGTTGGCGAAGTCGATGGGGTCGCGGAGCGTGATGGTGCCGTTGGGGATCAGGAGGTACTTGGCGCCCAGGGTGGTGGTGGTGGTGGCGGCAACGCGGCGAGCGAGTTGAAGATCTTGGCGCCAAATGGTTCTGGATATGGAGCGAGCAGCGAGGACGCTCCCAGCGAGGAGGCCCGTCTTGTTGGTGTCACTGGTGGTCTTACGAACCCAGTCGTCGCGAACCAGCTGCGCAGCTTCAGACATGAGCCTATTGTGTGTGTGTGTGAGTGTGTGAGTGTGTGAGTGTGTGAGTGTGTGAGTGTGTGAGTGTGTGAGTGTGTGAGTGTGTGAGTGTGTGAGTGTGTGAGTGTGAGTGTGAGTGTGAGTGTGAGTGTGAGTGTGAGTGTGAGTGTGAGTGTGAGTGTGAGTGTGAGTGTGAGTGTGAGTGTGAGTGTGAGTGTGAGTGTGAGTGTGAGTGTGAGTGTGAGTGTGAGTGTGAGTGTGGTGTGGTGTGGTGTGTGGGTGTGGGTGTGGGTGTGGGTGTGGGGTGTGGGTGTGGGTGTGGGTGTGGGTGGGTGTGGGTGTGGTGTGGGTGGGTGTGGGTGTGGGTGTGGGTGTGGTGTGTGTGTGTGTGTGTGTGTGTGTGGTGTGTGTGTGTGTGTGTGTGTGTGTGTGTGTGTGTGTGTGTGTGTGTGTGTGTGTGTGTGTGTGTGTGTGTGTGTGTGTGTGTGTGTGTGTGTGTGTGTGTGTGTGTGTGTGTGTGTGTGTGTGTGTTGTGTGTGTGTGTGTTGTGTGTGTGTGTGTGTGTGTGTGTGTGGTGTGTGTGTGTGTGTGTGTGTGTGTGTGTGTGTGTGTGTGTGTGTGTGTGTGTGTGTGTGTGTGTGTGTGTGTGTGTGTGTGTGTGTGTGTGTGTGTGTGTGTGTGTGTGTGTGTGTGTGTGTGTGTGTGTGTGTGTGTGTGTGTGTGTGTGTGTGTGTGTGTGTGCGCCAGCGGCTGTCTATGGAGACGTGATCGGTCTTCGTGGCATCGAGCAGCTGCTGGAAGTAGATGGCGTAGTTCGGGGAGGGAGGAGGAGGGGGGAGGAGGAGGAGGAGGAGGAGGAGGAGGGGAGCTGCAGCAGCAACAGCAGCAGCAGCAGCCAGGAAGCAGCGAGGAAGAGGAGGAGAAGGAGGGGAGGAGGAGAGGAGGGAGGAGGGGAATGAGGAGGAGGAGGAGGACGGGACGTTCACCCAGGAGGACTAGGAAGAGGAGGAGGAGGAGGAGGAGGAGGAGGAGGAGGAGGAGGAGGAGGAGGAGGAGAGAGCTGCAGCAGCAGCAGCAGCAGCCAGGAGAGCAGCAGCGAGGAGGAGAGAGGAGGAGGAGGAGGAGGAGGAGGAGGATAAGGAGGAGAGGAGGAAGAGGAAAACGTTCCCCCAGGAGGACCAGGAGAGGAGGAAAGGAGAGGGGTGGGAGGAGGAGGAGGAGTGCGAGGACGAGGAGGAGGAGGAGGGGAGGAGGAGGACGTTTCCCCAGGAGGACCGAGGAGGAGGAGGAGGAGGAGGAGGATGAGGAGGAACACGACGAGGAAGAGGAGGAGGAAAGGAGAAGGAGGAGGAGGAGGAGAAGGAGTAGAGAGGGAGGGAAGAGGAGGAGGCGAGGACAGGAGGAGGAGGAGGAGGAGGAGGAGGAGGAGGAGGAGGAGGAGGAGGAGGAGGAGTGCGAGGAGGAGGAGGAGGAGGACGTTCC